TTTGCGTCTAGCGATCAACCGGTTGAAATTGCTGGAAAAGAAGAAAACAGAACTGGCACAGAAGGCGCGCCGTGAGATCGCTGATTTCATTGCCGCTGGCAAAACGGAGCGTGCTAAAATCAGAGTGGAGTACATCATTCGTGAGGACTACATGGTGGAGGCAATGGAGTTGCTGGAGATGTACTGTGATCTGCTGCTGGCACGTTTTGGTCTCATTCAGCAAATGAAGTCAGTATCGTTACTCTTATGGATCAGCAATATGACATATACGTTCCATTTTTTGCTTACACTTTCTCCACGACAGACTCTGATAAACAAAACTGGTCAATAATTCATTAGTTAAAATAATTAACAACGAGTATTTTAATTATCTATTAAAGTTATTGTCATTCATATGTATACAATTTCAATTTATATTACTTTGCTGTTTATTATCTTTTCAGAAGCCTCGACGAAGGTCTGGCGGAAGCTATATCAACCATTCTCTGGGCGGCTCCTCGCATCCAGACGGACGTGCAGGAAATCAAAGTGATAGCGGACATCTTGACGTCTAAATATGGTAAACAATACATGGAAGCGTGCCGGGAGGAGGCAATTCAAACCATATCGGAGAAGCTGAAGCACAAAATGAGCGTGCAGTCGCCATCAAAATTGCTTGTGGAAAAATATCTAATAGAAATTGCCAAGAATTACAACGTGGAATATGAGCCGGATCCGCAAGTAATGGCAGAAGGTCAGGATGCGATGTTAATAGACATAGGAGCCAATGGTGGGGAATCGAGGAACAATCTGGACACAGCCAGCGGAGGAGGAATACCTCATCCGCCTGGCTTCATAGGTTTTCCACAGGCACCTATGTTACCTGATCCTGGATTCCACTCGAGCGTGGTAATTTAAATCTCTTTTGTTTAATAAAAGACATAAAAAAACGCTAATGTAGTTTTTATAAATTTTAATTGACAAGTTCAATTTACGAAATTGTCCAATAATCAGTTTCTAGCCAATTTAACCATTAAATCATTAAGGCTATCACAATGTTCTAGGATTCGGAGAAAGATAGTTCTTCCTTAGGATTCGTATCTCCAATGTCTCCACCCTCTACTGAGAAAGATCAGAATACTCCTTTCAATCCCACTGCATTTTCGTATAACATACCCCTGGATAATGCCAACTCGAACAAACCTGTAAGTAACTTGTATTTATTACTAAAATAGTATTATATTTTTTATTAGCAATAACAATAATAATAAAACAGTTTTCTTGTAATAATTCGAAAAAATAATTAATTAGGAAGAAGATTTACCACCGCCATATCGGCCTGACTTTCCGCCTGATTTAAATAAACAGGTAAAGCCATAAGAGATTCTTATCTTTCTAATTTTTGCGGAATAATTATTAAAATGATTAAAATAAATATAATAAAGACGATATTCGATATTCTAAAGTACGAAAATGTTCTTGAAAAATTCTATCAAATTATAAAACATGCACAATTATTTTCCACATATAGTCAGATGAGAAACCAAAACCCCAGCCAAGGTCTAAAATGCCGATGAACAACTACCAACTTCCGGATCTGCCAGCAGTGCCGACAGAGAACAATGATTCGCCCACTAATCCATCCGTGAATGACGACATTGATTTTGACGACTTGATGAAACGATTCGAGGACCTGAAGAAGAGGAAGTAACGATCGACGGATATACAAGCAATATTTGAAACGCATCGTTTTCATTTATTACTTTAGCGTTGCAAAACGGTGTTGTATTTAGTAGTGCCTTCTGCAAAAAGAGAAGGTCTGGGAAAGGTAGGCTATTATATGCTTTTGCAGTGAAGAAAATGAAAATGTATAGTTTACTCTATCCGAGGATCAAGTACATATAAATTGTTATAATATTAATTAATGTACGTGTTAATTTAATATATATCTTTTTATGATTATTATATGTGCTTCACAATGTTCAATAAGTGTATATAATATCTAAGTCACATTTTTACAATGATTGATTCTTCCTATTCCTTATTTTTTTCTCATTTCATAGAAAGTATATATCAGCTAGTCAATTATTATTATTATTATATATATATAAGACGTCTGTGTGCATACAGAGTTATTAATCATCCCAATCTTCGCATCTCTGCAAAAAAATGATTATGTCAATTACAAAGAATATTATAATTTGTGAAATTTATTCTCATAGAATTTTTTTATTTCTAATCCTTTGCTTTGCTAACTGGAGAAAATTTCAATTATTACATGCAGATTTAAACTTATATTTTAAAATGTATTCTATGAAAGAAAGAGAAATCCTCTAAAATGCCCATATCTGTTTAAACGATTCTATATAAATTTGTATACATACTTCCTTTCCTTTATCAACCAAACAAGCCAAGAGATTTTCCGAGAAATAACATTTGTTCTGCCTCATATCCGAGCCCAAATAATGAAAACATTCTATAACAGCTTCCTCTATAAAGTCCTGTAGTTCTGGATTGTGTATGTTACGAGTCATGAACTGGATGATCGAGACTTGCTCGGGAAATCCCCTTTGATCCACCTAATAAAGCCGGAATCGAAAAAATCAATCACTAGCTGCGATCTATTAAATTTTGAAACAGTCTATGTATTTACCAGATTTAATTCGTTGAAGAAACACTGGGTGACGCACTATAAGTTCAAATAATATTTCGTTAATATAAATTATTATTAGACACACTCTATATACACAATATAAAAAACGCATAGGATATATTGGTCCACAAAACAGATTTATCCCATTACGATAAAAAGACATAATCATGAGTTACAATAACTTGGAAACTAACAGAAAAGAATATTGTAGCGTAATACTTATTATTGCTATATAGAGACATTTTTCGTCATTATAATTCTTTAATTTTCGTAAGATTATTATTAGACACACTCTATATACATAATATAAAAAGAGACAAAAAATTCTAGTCACTGTGCTACAGGTGATAATTGCAATTCTCTTATTTTATATTTTTTTATTTATTTTGATTTGTCATTTTTTTAATACAAATTCAATACTTCGAGAGAACAATATATTTATACGTTACATTTGGAGATCTATTGATCTTCTATTTTGATCACTATATATATATATCTTACGTCTTGTTCTTGTTGCTTGCCGTAGTTATCAGAATTGTCATTATTATACGTCTGGTCGTAGCTTGATCTGCCAGTTCCATCGGAATAACTAAAATCACGATTATTGCTACCACGAGAAGGATATCGAGCACTTCTCCAGTTCCCATTTGTGTAATCGACGGAATAGCGCCGATTGTTACCGTTTCTCTGATCATTCCCGCGATTCCTTAATTATTATATTGATATTAATTATTCATATTAATGGTGTAAGTAATGATAATGTATATTATTATTATTATTGATATTTAATCTTATCAATTCTTCGTGGACACGAATATTCTATATCTTGTTTTGTTACCGATTCTCATTAGGATCCTTCCAAGACTGCCTGTTATAGTACGTTCTGCCGTTATTCATAGAGAACCTTGTACCAAACAAATCTACGCTCGAGGAGTCATCGCTGTCTTCGTCTTCATTTGACGAAGAATCGTTGCTATAATCATCATCAGATGTGGATCGCTTCTTGCAAATCTGTATAATTTTCTGGTATTGATTGTTCGCCTGCTGAACTCCTGTTCTGCATTTTAATGACTATATACACATAGAAAAACTTACTAAACCAAAGAATTGATTATTGCATATGTATATTCTTAAATACAAACAATATTTTTAAGTATGCACATACATATATATAATATATATAATTTTTTTTATATATGTATACACACACACATAAAATATACTGATAATAAATCATAAATAAATTCAGCACTTTTCTTTTTTAGAATTTGAGTAAAAATTTTACATAACTAACAGATCTCTTTCAGTTACTTACATTCGCTGATTCTATCAGCGACAAGCAAAGGCATAGAACAACGAGAATCACTCTGCAGGTCACCATCTCGTGCGGACTCTATACTTCCGAATAAACTTCCTCATTTTTTTCCATACGTATTTATTCAATAGCACTAAGAATGCTTGTATCATCGGTGAGACAAGTTGATAGACAATAATTGTTGCAAAACAAAAAATATTGTTCCATACGTCCGGACGGAGACACGCTCGACTACTCCCTTATGCAATTCTTCTGATTACTGATCGAATTACCGTGACTATATTGTTACGGGTGAGTCCTTTGTGAGGGAAAATCATTGGATTGTCAGAGAAGAGAGAGAAAAAGAGACAAAAAGGAAAGAATTCAATCGTGGAGAAAGTGAGAGTTTCGTGAAGGCATGACAATTTCGAGCGATCAGTTCTCCATCAATTGTTCATCGAAGAAGATATACGATGTATAGCAAGTGCTTTGTAAGTATCTGTGTTATCGTCATAAGTACACACTCTAGAAAAAAAAATCCGTCTTTTGATGAAAGATGATTTAGTCGTACGTTTTTTCAAAATAAAAATGTACGCATATGGGAGTTGAGAATATATGGGGCAAATCGAGGAAAGCAACAGACCGCGAAGATGTGAAAGTGTTTCATTTTCGCTGTTAGATTTTGCTGAGTAATTGTACAAATATTGTTATTCGATCATTTGTTATCATTATTCGATGCAAAACTAACAACCGAATAAGACAAATTCGTAAATAAACGAAAATCTTTCGTAGTATCCCGCGTTCTTAGCTTGCGTTACGTATTGTTTTTAAATCCATTCTTCGTTCAGTCTGTCTCCGTTTCATTTTTCTTATTGCCCTTATTATATCCTCATCTCCAAACACAAATTTCCTCGATTCTCAATAGAGATCAGATTATTAGTATCTAGAACAGAATTATAAGAAGTTATAATTCTCTATATTTTTAATTATTATTTATACTTTTCTTTCGTAGCTTCTTTTAAAACTTTTCTCACTCGCGATTACGTTGCCAATACATGAAGATAGTACAAACGGAAAAGTCGTACCGCCATACCCAAGCAATATTTCGACAATTTATCCCGCTATGATATCTAAGAGGGCAGCGGATCGATCGTCAGACGGAAGTCGAGTAGATTTTCAAATAAGGAATCATCAGGGACCAGGAACATATATATTCGGTTTTGATACTGGACATGGGTAAACATACATCGCTCTACCATTATATTATAATTATATTAATTGCCGCTTAACGAGAGTTTCATAAAAATTTTCGAGGAAATAATGACTGAAAAGATTGATACGTCATTTGCATCGCAGAAAAAATCGACAGTACAAAATGGAAGAGCGCCGTCGAGACGGAAGCGTCAAAGGTCGATATGGCTTTTACGATGCGAAGGGAAAACTCAGAGTTGTCAGCTACATCGCGGGCCCCGCTGGTGGTTATCAAGAACGCCATCACGAAACCATCGCTTATAAACCTGAAACTTAACGTATCTCTGTCTCTCTCTCTCTCTCTCAGTTACCTTTCTATCAAATAAAATTAACGATTCATGTATATATCGAACACTTTGCACTCATTAAAAAGTAACAATTACCGAAATAGGTTTTAAGTTATGCAGACTATATCGGATATATGATATTTGACAAATATGTGTTTGTATTGGTGCAACTACAATGTCAGGTTTTAAAAGTGAAGAGTCCATTATTTTCAATAAATACATAATTTATTCAAATTTTATTTAAATTAACATGTGTTTTTAAATTATAATTTTATTATTCGCAGATTTTTACTTTCGAAAGACATTGAACAGTCTTAAGTTCTGTGTATCGCTCAGTATGGTTGAATCATCATTGGACTGTGCACCTCGTTACTGTGCCATTCTCCCCAAATATGACGTATATATTTCGCGTAACTGAATAGTAAAACAGGCAAGTTCGATTTCATGTAACATAATTGTCCGAACACCCTGATTTTCCATGTTTTACTTTAGAATACACTTATCAATAAGATAACTGTAGATAAGTGATCACTGTTTTATATTCTCAATTTTAACTCAGAAAGAGTGAAAGAATACATTATGTACCTGACTTACAATTTAACACTGACTACGAGCTCTTTTCATAAATATTAAAATTCGACATTTTGGCTACACCAATCAAAATACAATCCGTGTAATCCGGGATTGGAAGAAGACACAGAGTGTCCGAGGCATTTTGTATAAATAACCGCTGCCGACGATTGGGATTAAACCGTTTATTTAACAATAACAATTACTATATAAGAAAAAAATGTCAATGCAAAAAAAAGATGTAAACGTCATATAATATATAATACCATGTATATATATAGGTATTTTTGTGTATGTGTGTGTGTGTGTGTGTGTGTGTGTGTATATATATATATATATATATATATATATACATACATACACACATATATATTCTTACGTGTTAGTTTGTGTACGTGTTAGTTTGTGTGTATATGTGTTACATATCTAATCCATACAGAGAACGCATTTGTCGCACGCGCGCTCGCGCGCACTGAATGGATTACACAAGAGTATAAATCAAATGTATACGTAGATATCTGCCGTCTTTCTCCGTAATCTTTTTTCTTCTCGCTCTCTTCGCGCCTATAAAATCGCACGATAACCCGTTCCAATTCTTGCTTTGACACTTCTATTTTACGGGAGTCATCTCTCGTAAAGCAATTGCTTTGAAATTATTTGTCCTTTTTCGTGTCCGCCGCACCATACGACGAACCCTTGCTTATCTCCGACATTCCGAGGGTTTTGTACATTAGCAAATAAACTGTAATTCAATTTGCTTTCATGAGGATGACATAGCGTTTAAAATGAAAATTGAGATATCTTCTGTGACTTAAGGGTATTGCGCATAAAATAAAAAGGAACGTAAGCACTAGAGCAGCAGCCAAATCGGTCTTAAAAAGCCGAATTCAATTCGCTATGTTTGCTACATCCAGAATTTAATTAAAATATAACTTTTAATATATTATAATGATTACTATTTATCGATTGAAGAAGGTGAATGACATGATAACTAATAGTTGTAGATAATATAATGTAAAAAAGGTGAGAGGATACTACTTACATACAAAGATAACCCCGACCCCGATGGTAATGCCAAAAATCGAGCCGGATAGAAGGAGCCTCACTAGATAATATAGCATTGGTACAAGGACAACTATCGCCCAGCAAATGGTGTTAATAAGGGAATAGTATCTTCTCTTTAGCCTGAAAGAGTCTGTCCTAGGCACCCCGCTCTTGGCAAAAAAATCGCCGGTTTCATAGAAGCTCTCCGTCATACGATCCTACCAGGCAAAGATTTCGTCTAGCATTACCGCGTTATAACAATACATTGTCGCGTCAGAGCGAACCAAAATCGCTTAACAGAGATCAATTCTCGCGTACTATTCTGCTCGATGCAATCGTGAACTTGTAAGCTCTTCGTTCTAATGCGCAAAGAAACAATCCAGATTTCTGTGATGCACTTCTTAAAAATACTCAAATTGGACAATGTGTAAACTTAAGCAGGTCAATTACATTACATATGGATTCTATCCTTGTGAAATAGAAGACTACTCAAAGCTCCTAATTCGGATTAAGCATTTCTACTTAAACTCGAAAAACATTACCAGTTACAAAATTATACTTCTACCAAAATAGTACGATCTTTTTCATTGGATGCAAAAAGAAATACAAACTTGATAACGCTACCTTTTGCTGATACAGTTTCTGTAACCATTCAGCAGCAGCTTCGTCTCCCTCCGGAACCTCCTCGATGGGAATTCTTTTAGCATACATATGTCCCTCCAGCCGTTTCCCGAAGAGAAGATTCCTCATAGTCGGCTTCACGGGATCAGACGGCTTGAACGCTATCTGAATGTCGTAGATGGCCGTCGCTTTGCCTCTCATGTGCGGAATGCTGGCGGTAAAGCCCTTTGTGCGTGGGGTTAAATGATATTTTAATACTGGCAGACCTTTTTCGATAGCGAACTTCTGACTGGCTTCCAGCTTTTTCAGCGTAAAGCGTGTACCCTCGGGATAGAGCAGCAACTATAATCAATCATTTACAACTTAAAATCGTTTTTATAGCTATATAGCTATTTCTAGCAGTAAATGTTATCGAACTTTGGAATTATTCACTCCGGATTAACTAATACGCTCGTGTTTAGATAAAGAAACAAGAAATTGAAAGATATACTCACCCACATTGTGTCAGGATACTCAACGAGCTCCTTGATTTGAGTTTTGATGTTCTCCTTGTCTTTCTCCCAACTCCTCTCGAGGAAAATACTCTCAGCGAATTTCCACGCCCATCCCAGCGTAGGAATATACTGTATCGACTTCTTAGCATAAGCTTTACAATTCTAAAAAATATATTCTTTCAAAATAAATGTTCTCATTGTACCTATATATACATATGTATCTTCAGATTCATTTTTTTTCTGCTTTTAGAAATTTATTCTTAGAAGTTACGTACACCTAGTAATCTCACGCGATCGCATAACAGCCAACCTATCAACCAATCGGTTTCGTAACTGTGATTCATCAGGAGGTAGCCGTGCTCATTACCGAAATATTTATCAAAGTCCTTTTTATCTATGTACAATATTAGGTCCGATCCTGCCCACCATTCTGCCATGAATACTAATTCTGGGGAAAGTAAAAGTTTAGATTTTAGCGTGTTAAATTGAATTTTTTTCTTGGAAATAAAACAGGAGCTGTAATACGAAACGAGGCATACTTACGACAGTAAAAGGAGTAGCAGAGGTAATAATTAATCTTGCGATAGAGGTATTTGGAAAATGGCCTCAGTCCAAGATATAAAACGCATTGGAAGAAATTTATTATCAAGCCAGATGTAAAAAATGTGATGGCGAACATAAGGTGTATCACCAACCATTGCTTCACAGAGGTCAGCATTCCCATGGTGATAAGCGAATAAAACTAGACCGTACGTTTTATGGAAAACATAAATATTTGGTTTCTCTGCCTGTAACAGAAATGAACCAACAGGTATTTAAAAACGAAAAAGAGATAAAATTACTTATACAGAAAAATTTCCATTTTTTCCTACAACTCAATTAAAACAATTGTCATTGTATCCATAATTGTCGCCATAAAAGATAAGAGAATTTCAAAATTATGTTTATATCATGTGTGTATGTGTGTGACACTAGACAGCTACGTGTGCAAGTATTTACGCCAAACAAACTTGCCTGAGAGTAAAAGAAATAATTGTAGCGTTGCTATGTACAATTTTCTGATCGCTGAATGCTGTTATATATACAGTGGCAAATAAACTGCATTAGTGTCAATTGGCTCATTAATCAAACTGATTGGGGGAGGGGAGCAAATAACGTGATAAAAAACAATCTCTTTATATAAATCATATGAAAAATATGTAAACACAAGCAACAACAAGTTAAATATGCTAAAAGAGGAGTATTACATGGGCAGCAAGTTTTTATACAACGGTTGATTTGTTTTCTTAAATAAACAAGCTGAAAAAATTTTCTTTACAGGCTTACGCTACAGGCTATACAAGAACGTTAAGCTGTTGTCAATGTTTCTATACTTGTGTAAGTCATCCAGTAAAAATGAAATAGATAAATCTGTAAAACATTTCGTAGCGATTCGTAACGTTTTAGCTTCTACGAAGTTTAAACTCTTCTTTCCCAGGAGCATGTAAATTCTTTAACCTGCAGAGTTTTTCATCGTGCGAGATCCGTTACATAACAAATATTGCGTTAACTTGACAAGTGCTAACGAGAGAACCTGAAAAAATATAAAGACAGCCGGCGGCTATCGTTATAACATTATATAATACTATTTACAAGAGTCTTCTCCAAGGAATCCAGTATACATCGTAACTACTTAAAACCGACGCAGACCTGGGCATTGACCTGGAAACGACTCTGTCGACGTCTAGAAAGTTAACAAACATCGAAGGTGCTTACATACATACCGAGTTGATTAGTAACAGAAGTAAAACAAAATCGGACACGTGCGTTATCGTTGTTAATTTTTACAGAGCGCAGAGTTGCGCGCAATGTGTGCGGCGTGCGTCGTGCGTCACGGTCTCGTCCACGACCTCGTTATTCGTTTATTGCAATTCACGCAAAATGCGCGGATTGAAAGAGAGACCGTGGAGGATGTTCGTCGCGACCTCGAGCCACGACGCAAACCCACGTGTATCTCCATCTTCTCCTTCTCCCCCGGACCCGGAGGAGAATCTTTCGCGCGGGGCGCGAACTCGAGATCGGGGGGTCTTACCTCAATTCGGCATCCCTGACGAGAGGAAGTGGTGCGAGCGTGTGTGCGCGAGGGGAAGGAGAACGGATTAACCGTGCGGTGCGGGTGCCAGGTGTCAGAAGACGCGGTGGCCCGAGGGATCAAAGTGCGAAGTTCCAAAGTTCACTGACGGTGCGTTGACGGTGCGCTTTTGTGCGTGCCTACGGCGTCCTCGTCGCTCCGTGCGTGACGACTCCGTGCCTCTCATCGGATCGGGGGGAGAAATCAGGACGCCTCCATCACTCCATGCCGTGCGCGCGCGGACACACGAGCGACGACGACGATACACGGCCCCCCTGAAGCGAGGAGCAAGTCAGCCGGTCCTCTCGTCCGCGGGTTAGGGATGGTATAGCGGGGGAACGTGACGATGGAAACTGCGAGTATACTGCGACCTGCGACACGGCGGAGTCACGATCTCTGTCACGCGACACGATTGTGTCAACGCCTACGCGCGGCTCGCGCCGTCCGTCATATCTCGAATAAGCTAGAAATTAGAAATGCAACAATGCAACAATGCGACCGGGAATTGTATATTTTGTGTCGTGGGCGCGTGACGTGCGCCGAATGCCGATAAGGATCGGGACGAACGTCATTGAACGTGCGGGTGCGCGCGTCCGTTCGACGTTCGACGCGCTTTCGGCGTTTTCCACTGCTTTTCACGCGAACGTATTTACGTGTATGTATGTGCGTATAGCGTGTGCGTAAACAATGCGCACGTAGCTTTTGGGTTGGGTGTATACATATATAGGATGTCGAAATATATGCAGGATAACTCTCTCCGTATCGGAAATTTTTGAAAAAGAAATTTTTTAATTAGTTTTTTAAAATATTATTAACGCGGTTGAATGAAGGTCTTTTTATCATCAGATCGTGAAGCTTATTTTTTGTATAAAACATTGTTTGATATATCTTTAATACTTTTCGAGATATATCGAGAAAAGGATGCAAGAATAAACCGCTCGATACTTGATACAATATGAAGGGTATGCATATGGTTTTTACATCTTTTAGAATTTTTCTGAGCCGCAATTGAACATTTCTAAATTCGTTTATTTATCCCCCTCCCTCCACTTCTCCCTCACTTACAGGTGTGTAAAGTTTTACGTGCACGCTCTTTTACTATTATATCCCTTTAAAAATTTAATATAACTATAACATATTTTTATTATGCAGATTATTATTTAATTTTTATATAGTGTTTTATATGACACATAGAAAAAAATAAACTAAAGAGCTATTCTGTCGATTGAACTAATCGTTTATTAATTAAATTAATTAGAATTTGACCAAAGCGTTTAATTTGATCACCAACAAAATATGCTGGGTCGATGTTTTTTTGCTGAACTTCTTGCACGTGGGAATAAAAAAAACGAAAACCAAACGGTGCAAGAGGTTCAGCTAAAAAGAATATTAAAGAATGATCGTCAACGCTGGGCAAATTATTGTAATTATCAATGGGGCCCCGGGGATAATTGAAGCCTAGAGATAATTGAAGATATTGATATTATCGACGGTCAATATCAATTTTTCAATTGCCGAATATTGTACTAATACATATGTAATAAATAAATAATAAATAAGAATTTACAACGCAATAATATTGTATATATTACCATGAAACTGCATTTTTTCCCTAATTGTCACTCGCATGGATAATCAAATCCAAATAACAAAATTGCAGTTTTAAATTAAAATTGAATATTATATATCGGATCCTAAATATATGTGTATATATGTCTGTAATACGACAGAATATAATAATAAATCATAAAATTGATATTATATCATAAGCCGACTGTCTATAAATTTTGACAATTAGCTAAATTTCCATAAATTTTGACAATTAGCTAAATTTCCATTATCACTCTTTTCAATATAAATGTCTCGAGTCACAGCCACAGGGTACGAATTATTCTAGACGAGGATGCGTCCGACCCGGAAGTGAAGCTATCTTCAAGCGGAGGAACCGGAGGAACGTTTCCGGCGCGCGCGCGGCGACGCCGCAAAAGAGCGCAACGTAAGGTTGGTAACGCCGCGCGAGTAATTCGACTAGGCCGGATTTTTAAAAATCCTTATATCTACATAATGGCCAGCGCGAGATCGGCTCCTCGCAGTTCTCCGCTAGTCGCGTCGGAAAACGGTTCGTCCCGCGCCAATTGACTGCATTCCTGCCGCGCGTTTTCGTTCTCGGGGGGGAAGACGCCAGAAAAGCAGCGGCGCGCTAGAGAGTGAGTAAAAAGCTGATCGAACGCGCGCGACGCGCCGATTCCGCTCGTTCCGATCCGCGCTTTTTCGCGCGCGCCGAAACAAAAATCGAGCCCGTCGAATCGTCCTCGATATGTCGATAGGAGCCGTTGGTATTTCTCGATCGAACGCTCTCACGCAGTTCTTCCTCTTACGCGGTTCTTACGCGGACGAATGAAAAAGGAGCAAGTGAACTTTTTCACCTGGCTGCTGCGTCGCGTTTTACAGCTCTTTTTCCCCCTCATCTTCGTGTTCTTGCCCTCTCTTTCTCTTTCTCTTTCTTTCGTCCCCTCTCTTTTTTCGCTCAATCGCTTTTATAAATGCCATATGGATATCCATTTATTTTACACGCACGCGATTCATATCGCAATCACAGATCTCCTTTTATATCCGCGGGTTTTTACAAAACTCATTTGCTGATCTTGGAATTTGACGCTATCGATTCGCGAAAATGTTGCTTCTCAATCAAATTATAAGAGTATCTTGTTGTTTAATCATGTCTGATCACATACGATTTTTTTTCTTTCAATTATATATCAAGACACACACTACCTTAACAACAGGTCAAACGTGAATTACGCGCGGAAATAGAACTGGGTTTATGGGCTCTTATATATCTTAGATCTGTTCTTCGAATCTTGCTGTGTTACGTTGCGTTCTCTTTGCACGCAAAATAATCCTTGTGTACTCGGAAAACAATTTTTCATATCTAAAATATGTCTATGTATGTTATTTTTCTCTTGTATAATATCTGTTCGTATATATAAGAAAATAAAGAAAATAATTAAGAGAAATAATTAAAACATAGAAACGACAAAAATTATGAAATTCTTACTCCTTATGACTTTTTAAATTTTTGTCATTCTGAATCTTTATTATTTTATTAATAGTTATGTAGAGATATTTTATGTTTTTACTGTAGAAATTATATTAGAATCTTGCCCTTTCAATAATTCTGCCCTAAAAAATACAAAAGCACATACAAACGTAAAAGTGTCATTGTTTCAAATCTAAATTGTTTGCGTTCTATTATTTATGTATCAGATATGATATATATCGAATGAATTTTCTGGTAAGTTAATGTAAATGTAGGAAAGAAAGAGAGAACCATTACCAATTTTAGTTAATTTTAAAAACAATTAAAAGATATGTGAGAAGTGTAATAATGAAAATTTTAAAACTATAATAAGTTCTTTCTTTCAAAAAAGATAAAGGAAGAACTTAGCTTCTTATTTATACGTCAAGTTACATTTATATTTGACGAAAATGACATTTTACAGTAAAGATTAAATTAAAGTTCACTTGGTTTAAAATACAGCGAAAGAGTTGATGGATTCTCTCGAATGGAGAGCAACTGACTTGCTTCGCGTTTGCTTGCGCACTTTATATAAAGGGCAAAACAAATGTGTTGCACTTGAAACACATGGCTTGATGGCTATGATGCATGACCATATGGCTCCTCGGAGGAATCCGTGTGTCTATAAATAGCTGCATACATTTCATCCCTTCGTCACTTCCATCTACAGAAGAAAGGCTCCAAGAGCTACATATCATAACTTGAGAAATATTAATATTTCTTTTTTATTTAAACAGTATTAGTTATATTTAAATTCAGAGATTGATACGTAAGAAATAATCGTCAAAATTATAATACTTCGAAAAGAAAAGAGAAAATTGGAAATATTGAGAGAATAAAATTCTAAAATGTCAATTTAATTAATCCTTAGTCGACAAAATATTTAGAAGAGAATAGTTCAAAATAAAACATTTTTAATGTAAAGGAAAGTATTATATTATACATTGTTTAAAGCTAAAAGTCATATTTAAGTAATATAAAACTGTCTATATAAACATAAACTTTTTGTAACGTATTAACATGCAATTAAGCAAACGAATGAAATGATTTCTTTTACGTACGTTGAGAGACGTTGGAAATACCGAACTGTGATCTATGTGGCCACCACTGACGATTAAGAGTAATTTATTGTGACTGATGATTTCTCTCTATACGGTTTCCCGGGGTCATCGTAAGTGACCTGCGTTCTTCTTATCTCGATGGCAGTGCATTCAATTAGACGCAGGAAGAAAGAACACTGTGTAGCTTACAGAAATAGTGGCATCTTTGTTCGTCATCATTATACGGCGTAGGTTCATTGATTTCCTATCCTTTATCTTCTCGATCAGATTTGACAAGCGCTCATCGTCGAAGGGACCTCTTCGATCGACTTCGAACGCCGCCGAGCAAAACAACACTGCAGATTAACAGTTCCCTCGGACAGACAACGCCAATAAGACAATGAAACTGCTTGTTGTTTTGACGCTCTTGTGTTGCTCTTGCATCGACGTTAGCTACACTAGAGAAATAACGTATGTATCCGATTACTCTACTAGTTTAATACTTCGAACATGGCACTTCTTTGTTTAAAAATTACAGAATATAACTTTCAATGATATTATATATTTATCCTGTCTTATAAATGATCATGTCAATTTTTACAGTCATGAAGACATTAAGGACGCTATGTTGAGCCTGGTGCACATGATGCGAGAGAATACGGAAAAGCTGGAGAGGCACGAGGCGAGAGAACGGCAGCTGGGCGAGCAACTGAAAAAGACAATAACCATCCTGACGAAGCGCGTGTCCGTCGTGGACGGCCTGAAGCTGCAGTTGACCAAGCTGGACGAGAGAATCTCGGGGATAGAACATTTGATCGCACAGGTGATCACTCGTATTTCGCTCAGTAAAAGACAAAGCGATTAATTCTTAAAATGTCGTGACGGTGTTTCTTCGCGCAGAGGGACGAGAGGGAGCGTATACAGATGCAAAAGACCGTGGACAGTCTGGAAGATCTGGAGGGTCGCTTGGAAGGCTGGCTCACGAATATCGAAAACAAGGTAGCGGAGGTAGGCAATCGCGCGGAGGTCACGTCCGCTCCGGACGGTAATCTTCCCGATGTTCTCAACAAGCTGAGTGGAATAGAGAGTAAATTGATGGAAGAGGTTGCGAGATTCAAAGAGGGTCTGCATAATAACGTAGCGAAGATGAACAAAGAATCAGCTACGCTGATGGAGAAGACGCATACGATCTCCTCGGAGGTGACTCATTTGTGATAAAAGTAATCTACGTCTTCCTCGTACACACTAAATATTTTAAACAATGTAAATCTATTTCGGACCGTAGGTGCAGTATGTAACCGCTAAGATCGGAGATTTAGAGAAATCTCTAGAGAAGTTGAAACAGATGACGCAGAACGTTCAAGAGAGACCATCGGAACAGCAATTGGATTCGTTACCAGCTTTTGAGGATCACGTCAGGACATTGGTGCAAGTGCAAGAACTGCTGGAGGGCACCTCTGAAAAATTACGAGAATTACCCAGGTAACATTTTGTACTCGACTCTCTTGATATCATAGTTTTGACGTTCTCCGTAAGAATACGAGAACATGTAACATCCTTAACACTTCGATACTAATTGCCACTTTACGATGTAGGATAAACGAAGTGCAGGCGCTCCACAACGAGACGCAAGCTATGTTGCAGGAAGCTAAGCACGCGTTGAAGGACATCGTTACACGGGGTATCGATAATATCGGAGATAAAATAACGGAGAGCAAAGAAGAAACGAAGGATTCGGTGGCGGCGTTACGGTAAATCCCATGAGTGTCGTCTAGAATTATAAACGCTAAACATGGTCGTCTTCTTTTATTGAATATCAAATTATGTTAAACAGACAAGGATTGGAGTCGGGGGATCATATTTGGCGTTAAATACAAGCCCCTATCGTGTAGCCCTTCCTTTTAATTTAGCTTGAACTTCCTTAACAGGATGGACCTGGCTAACAATGCGGAACGCGTTAACCAGGAGCTACAGGATTTGGAAAAGGGCCAGTCCGTGATGGTTTCTATGGCCGATCATGTGCTGGACACGAAGAAAAGGGTGGAGTATGGCGTACATCAGATCCTGTTGGAAGTGGGCGATTTGGTGAAGACCCAGAGCGTCAACATTAACAGCACTCTTAGTCAAAGATTCGACGGAATCTCGAATGATATCATGGATAACCAGAACGGTGCCTTGGCGAACCTTACCAGCAAGATGGAACTAGAAATGAACAAAGTAAAGATCTGTTACTTGCTGACTGATCTGGCCGCTCCCCGGATTTGTTGTTACTACCTTCGTTGCAGGTTTGGCGGCAGATCAATGTGATGTACCAGCAGATGACGGAAAGCGCTCGAGCTCTAGACAAGCTGCATCAACAGAACGAAGCCTATGTTAACGGCACGACGTCTACTATGGGTGGAATGGAGAACAAGGTAATAAGATGCGAGATAAAACATACATTTAGTATAAAATAATGAGAATTAATATAAAGTAAAATAAGTTAAATGGATCATTGCATAAATCATTGCATCGATACATTATCTGAACATTACTCAAATGTATCCGAATCACTCACGTAGCACCCATTTTTGTGGCAAACTTAACGGCTAGATAATCGCGGATAACTTGGTCTTCGTTCTGAATAATGTCCAACGCATATCGTCCTGAATTTACTCGCTTGAATACTTCCCAAAGATTGCAAAACTAATCGGTTGAATATTCGGAATTCTACAGGTAGGCGAGATAACAAAACGCATGACGGAGGTGGATGAGAATTTGAACTACCTGCTCGGCCGCCTGTCCTTGGTCACGCAGGAATTCAATCAGATTAAGACAGGTCTAGGGAACGCGCTGGACAACATCAAGGCTTCTTTCAAGGTGGTTCAAGAGAAAACGTCAGATCTGACTCATCCGGGTCCCCATCCACTCCCGGAAAACTACAAGGACCCGAACGAATCCGAGACCAGGAAGCCAGACGGTAAGCCTCCGTTGGACTTCACGAGTCACATCGCCAATGTACCTTCCAATTGACCTTCAGTCAATAAACTCTCGAAGCATTCTGATCAATTGCGTTTATTTACTGAGACAATATAAAATTTCATAAACACTGAAAGTTCTCTTGTGTAATTTCCTTTCTTTTTCCTCTTACGATCGCCCGAATTCAAGCTTAAAAGTTTCGTCTCGCAATTGCTAGTTGTGTTCATTTCTTCACTGCGCAAACTGTTTGTTTTAGTTGTGACCGTAAAGTAAGCCATTTGACTCTCAGATCATCAGAGGCTGGCTTGGGTTAATCTCAATCAGCGGAAGATAAACCATCTTCATCCTTAGCGAATTAACATCCGCCACTGCCACATCGACATCTCATCATCACCGTTATAATCATCGGACTGTAACACTTTGGTAAACTTTCAAATATACTTATGTTCTTATCCAAGCATAACAAGTAATGATGACGTCAAAATGATTATATTATTAAAAGTCACTTTGACATTATCATGACTTTTTGTTTTGTTTGGATAATCTTTTTTACCTACCTCGGTTAAAAAATGTTCTAAAAAAAACCCGGTATGTAACAAAGTAATAGATATTCATTAAAGTATAATGTTACATATACGTAAGAATATAATTAGCAGACTGCGGACGCAAATATATATCTCTAGCGAAGTTAAATAAGGGGATTCATATTTCAGATGCTTGCTTCTTTGTAAGATGATTTTAAGATATAATTTTTACATTGAATAGTTTATATAACATCCGCAGTCTAACCATTAGGTATTAGATGGACGATACAACGTAATTAACTTCTAATAATTTACCATATCATTTAATCTCTGCGCGGCAGAGGAAGGAAACAGGATATTGTGTTAGTAGAATACTACAGGATTTTACTGGAATGTTTCTATTGCCACTACTTATAAAAGAATAAACCATTACAAAACAAAGAACCCGAAAACACACGTACGGAAGAAAGTAAAACATTTTGGTACCCGATAAAAAATTTTTCATTTTAACTACATTATATAAAATTATCGTTAATTTTGCCGCTCTAATCTAATTATACACACAATTATTATTAATCTATTTATTATTTAATATATTAACCCGTAATTGCTCACGTGGGGATCAAACTGATCCAGATGCATAAACATTTCTCATACTTAAAAATTATTTTGTTCAAAACATGTCTCAATTTATAACTAATTACAAATAAAAAATATTGTTTGCACGTAAAATATAAATAAATTAAAATATGGGTCAAATCAAACTCCACGCTGGCATTTACGAGTTCATATATATTAGAAAAAAAAGTAAACAAAATTGCAGGACTTTGAGGAAAAAAGGTATTATTCTACACGTAAAAATATTAATTTGAACCATCGAAAATATTTTAGCAGAATTTTGTCATATTTTATGATAAAATATCTGCTAAATGGCAGAATATTTTTTTTCATATTCTGCTTTATGGCACAATATTTTATCATATTTTTATGATAAATGAAATCATAAAATATTCCACCACAAAATATGAAATATCTTCTGAGGTATTTACTTTCGAATGGTCTTACCTTAATATTTTATACGTAGAACGGCAGTATTTTTAATAATTGGTGATATCGTATGTATATCAATGTGCTATAGACGTTTGTGTTGTAACAGTTCTTTATTTCTAAACGGTAGAAAATATTTTTACTTACGCAAGAGTGCAAAGAGGGACTGACGGAGCCTGCATGCGTTGCAATAATTAGATCCGCGTTCGCTGCGCGCAAGCAGAAGCCTACGCTTGGAAATGAATTTTTTATCTCTTTCAATGGTAAATCCATTTTTTTGGCAAATACAACAACTGACCGTAATTTTTATAGCTTTCACAACGCGTTGGAAGGAGCCCGACCTCCGTTTGGATCCACGTTTATATAAGAATCTTAAGAATGAAAGAATCTGAGAAACAAAATTTTTCCAAAGAAATTCCCAAGAGTTTCCTGCGTAAAGAGAATTAACAATGCGGAGATCTGAAAAATTAAGTCGGCACACTCAAATTCTAAAAGATTCGAGAGATCGTCGCGAAGATTCTGGGATATGATTTTCTTAACAAAAAAATTATCTACAATGGCAAGAACTTAAAAAAAAACGCTGCTCGAGAGATTGAAAGGCAAGTCCGAACCGGAAGTCCGTGGCTCCCTACAGCGCTGAATATATAACGTATACCTCCTAAAATCTCGAGAACGCATCCTCATTTTGAGTTCAGCAAACCGTTATTATTTACAATATGCAATGTGTACAGATTAAAATCGCTAATCGCCTTGCCTTAAATCACGAACCGGCTGGCTGTTGAACCTAAGGTCGCATTCGTGAGGTCGCGCTAGGAACCGCAGAGAGGACCGAAGATAACGCGCTTCTTTTTTTTCTCCTTTTTGTGCAATGTACGAGTCTTCTCCTCGTCTCCCCCATGCCCTCGTTTTGCGTATGTTCGAAGGGGCGACACGTACGATAACCTCGACAGTGTACCATTACATCACATTACATTACATTATACTTTGAGCTCCGATAATGTTTTTTTTTCCTTTAAGCTATGTGAACTGTATAGATAGAGACGTACTTTACATTAAAGCATAGGTCCATTTAAATCACGTTAATGGACGACGACGCGGTTTTTTTTTTCTTCTTGCACGCCTATGTATGTTGAGGATTAACGACTAAACAACGACAACGTCTTTGTTCTGCCTGTCTGCCAGCCCGTTCGAGCAGCAAGCTCATAGTTAAAGCATCGGTTAATAACATCGTGTAAGTGTTAAGTAGCTCTGTCGGTTCGTCGCGAAGACCCCTTCGGCTCTTTCCTTTCCGATGACCTTTCGGCGCGAGAAAAAGAGAACGCAGTAAAATCGTACGTACTCGCCCAGAGACCCTTCCCAAGACCCTCGAGGACCGAAAGCGTGACTAGAACTCTTCACATTTCCAAGAAGGTCAAAGGCCAAAAGTTCAAAGAAGACTCCCCCCGAAACCGCGCTATCTTTGCGACGATCCAACGTTACAATTCACCGCAGTGCAGGATCCTTGAAAAACGGATGTCTTACGTACTTGCGACCCCTCCCCAGGACAAGCGGTCTCTTTGACAATCGAGAGAGTTGCCGATTCTTCATTGAAGAAACGTCTGAACTAAATCGCATCTCGTAACGCAGGACAATCAAGTTTTTTTTGCAATTTGCAAAAGTTTCGATGTTGGAAAATAATGAAACGTCGAGCTTTTCGCGACTCAACGGGACAATTACAGTTGCTGCAGTACGAACAATGAAAGAAAAGGTGATCGACGTTGATGCAATCGATTCTTCGAGTATATAGTAACGTTGCTTTAAATTTTACAGAGTGCCATAAAAATTCGAGCACGAAGACACTTCGGCAGGAAAGATCGCGAGGAATTAAGTAACAGAAAATACACACGATCTCGTAATACCGAGGAATAATTTTTTAAGTACAAGATTCAGTCAAATCGTAAGCTGCTATTAAAGAATCTATCCATAAATCAGGCAATATTAACATATCATTTTCAGCGGTCCCTAACACTATCGCGTGACTCATCGATGGAGATGACTCTTTAATTACAGCTACATAATTGACGAAACTCCAAACTATTTTACTCTTTTCCACGCTTTATAGTATTCTAGTGTATTAAAAAAAAAAAAAGTTATTACTCGAAAGAAAAATCGCTTGTACTTTCATTACTTGGTTCTTCGCAAACTTTCCCCGTGTGGTGTTTTTACACTGAAATTTTTCGCACACTCTGTACACGCGCTATAATTCACGTAGGATGTAATCGCGCTATGTGCCCATGATATAACATACCTTATAACTCTAACGGAAACGCGCACAGGTAGAGAATCGTCACCCCTTCCCCTTATATACATATACACACCCCCCAATGCGATAGAAACATCATTATTCACGAGCTGAATTGATTGATTTAGCTCCTAATCGTCTTTTTTTTTTTAAAGCGGCGAGTCAGAAAGTCCGCGACGCGTACCTTACACTCTCTCACTCTTGTTTATTCTCTTTTCCTTTCATCCCTCTCTTCGTCTCTCACTTTTGGACAGCTCAAAGATAGCAGAGTGTAAAAAAGGATACTGCGAGTAGTGCGAGTCCCTGCACGGCTGCTCGTATTCGTTAACTTCGTTTATACAAAAGGGTCTCCTACATAAAGCTACGTAAATTCGGAGTATTGGACGCGTTACCGGAATGCAGATTCGTTCGTTCTCCGTCTCTCTTTCCCTGTCTTTTTTTCCTCAATTGCCTTCCTTAGAGCGTGTCTTTCTCGCTTTTCGCTATCTTTTCTCTTCAAGAGCGAGGCGGAAGAGTGTTGGATACTCGCGTTTAATTCGTTTTGTTTACATGAGACGCGTGCGATGCGCGCATCTGCCGTGGCAGTTTTTTCTTCATTTCTCTCTTTCTCCCTATCTCTTTATATCCATTTGTCTTCATTTATTATAATTATTATTACTATTATTTATTATTATTGTATGTGGATGTCCAACGTGATCAACACGAGCTAAAAAAATATTAGAAATGAAGAAACGAGAGAGAAGCATTCTGAGTTGTTGCAAAGATTCTAGCCTCCGAGATTCTCGGATTCCAAAATTCTCAAAACATGAAAGAGCTTTCAAATATTTCAGCTTCCTATATCTTCGAATATCAAATGCAAAAACTTTTTACGAATTAATGTGACCATTTAGAGAAAAAAGTTTCCTTAAAATCTGGGTTCCCAAGTTGCAAGGGTAACATCCAGGTGCAAAACCCTATCGTTCCACGGGTTTCTCCGTCTACGAAACTCTTGCAACAACCCTAACGGCTTATCGTCACACGAATGAAAAAGAATATCCATGCGGAACGACGATGTCGGAGACACAAATGAAAAAACCCTGAAGCACATACACGCGCGCACAGAAGTCTTGAACGATGCACGATCCCCGATCTGTCCACTCGACGCGAAACGTGTCGAGGACGCGGTTGATCGCTACTGACGGTGGTTATCCCCGAGCGATAGGTAAGTCCGCGAGGTACTCCGGCTCACTTCTCCTCAATAGATTGTACTCTTTTAGAAGTTGACTAGGGCTTAAAGCGGCTGCTAGCTCGAGTCGCTCGAGGTGGACGCGCGCGGCTGACGCTTGCCACGCCTTCGGGGGTGCGAGTGGTCCTAGCTGCTGGTAGACGCGATAGGGCTGACCGGGCTGAGAGGACTGCGCGCCGAGTCCCTCAGGACACCGGTCAACGTTACCACCAGCTTGCGGCTGCCAGCGTGGTCACGGTGCTCGCCTAACCAAATGCCCTGCCACGTGCCCAGCGCAAGCTTGCCATCGGTGATCGGGATGCTCAGCGATGAACCCAGAAAACAGGCCTTCACGTGTGCCGGCTGTGAAACATTGAAAGTATTCAGCGTCGTCTCGCAGGTCTTTCAAGTAATTCACGAGTCGCACTAATCAAAGAAATTCTTCACAGAATTGATTCTCTTAAGTATGCTTCTTCATTAAATATAATATATATCTCCTTTTCCTTTATAAAAATGTTTATTCAACCGAATTAATTTACATGATCTGCTAAAACGTACCAAAATATGCATCATTATTGAAAAATATCTAATAAAGAAGCCAATCACATTTGCTTTAACATACATGAGTATTTACAAGCAAGTTTTACTGTTCTATGCGAGAGTATTCACTATAGTATGAAGAGAATTACATTCAAAGTGTAATATTGCTTTCCCAAAGAAAAAAACATGTATTAAAAAAGAAATATCTTCGGAAGCATTGGACTTACCATGTCGTCGGGTCCTTCGCAGCTATGCCTGTACTCCAAGCCTTCAGGAACTATTTTGTTAAGCATCATCTCCATGTCGTCTCTCACGTCTGGATCCCAGCTCTCGTTTAATGCTAAACTAGCTGAGGTATGGAGAACTATAGAAAAGAACGAATTTAATGTTTATCGCTTCGCAAAGAGATATCTGTAAGTTGCTCCTTCTTATAATAATATATGTGTACATATTCCCCGAACAGTGCACATTGGCACTGAAAATTAGACACCAATTCGTTAAACTACACATGAAGTCAAGTACAGATACTTGATCAAGCTTTCATTTTTTTAAAGAGTTGGGGGTAAGCTTAAACTTATTACTCTAGCTGTGCTTCAAAGCATTCTTCTTCTCTTTTGTTGAAGGATTCTCAATGAAGGGAGGAGAAGAACGCTTCAAAAAATTTGTAGCATCAAATGGATTGCGGCCTATGTCTCCAACTGGGGGGGGAGTTCCAGTTTTTTGACATAAATCTTGTTGTTAACTAACTTAATTTAATGAGGCCGTAAGCGATAGGTTAGTGGTACTCACTCTGGATATGGCAGAGACCAATGGAAAACTGGCAGAGCTCAGGTACCTGCCTGAGGATCTCCTCGGTGACGAGGTGAACGCCCCGGTGCTGCGGCCTGAGGTTAATCTTGGTCTGGAACCAGCCGGAGCCGATCTGGATGCCGCGGTTAGAGGAGGCCATGGCTGCGCGGAGGTGGTGAAAACGGTGGTGCAAAGGCGGGCGGAAGGGGGAAAGGGAAAGATCCGAGACGGCTTCTCCGTAGGCACGCTGACCGTCGACGAGAACCACGCCGGTGATCTACTCCGAATGGCCGATGCGGAATCACATTTGGCGAACGGTCGCGGATAAACTCGTCGCGTGCGCCGCGATCTAATCTGCCGAGCGCTCGAGCCGCAAAAGAAGGTTAGATTAGGTTAGGGACGAAGAGAAACAGAGAGAGAGAGAAAGACGCACGGAGAGGAGAGACGGACGGAGAGAGTGTGTGAGAGAGAGAAAGAGAGAGCAGTAGAAAAGGGGGGAGGACAGAAAGTGGGATAAAAGGGAGGGGTAACGATTCGGCCGCTCGGCGCAGCGCGCGCGACACACGGAACACGCACGCACGCACGCACGCAAGGCACGGACGAGTGCACCGCACGAGTGCACGCACGCACGCACGTATTCACGCACACACGTGTGTGTACTCACGCCACGCGCGCGCGCACACGCTCCCCCCCGCCCTCGTCACCGCGACACCACTCCACACCACTCTCACCCCTCACCTACACGCAGCAGCGTACGGACAGCGGCCGGGCAGAGACGGTTAACGGACGGCGGGCTCGGAGCGTCGTAGCATCGCGTGACCGCCGGTGAACGGGCTTTAGGCTAGGCTCGTGAGGGGCGGACGGCGTACGGCGTGGGACGGCAACCGCGTGTGCCGTGCCTGCCGTGCGCTGGCCCTTGGCGAGCGATTTGCAAATGGCGGCGGCGGGCGGGGGTGTGTCGGTGTGTGCGCCGTGTGCGGCCACCGCGACGCGACCGCAGAGCGTCGCGACGCTCCGACCCTCCGCGCATGGGCGCGCACCTGCGTGCGACCTGCGCTCCGGCTCGGCTCGGGGGGGCGACCGCGGTCATACCTTTGCGGCACTATGCCCCCTTTTTCTATATCTTTATCATCTATTCTTGATTAGTTGAACCTTCGCGAACTCTGCAGGGGTATATAACTCTGATCGATCTCCGATTAACTCAATCGGCGATTACTCCGATCGACAGAATCGGTTACTTATAATTTCTATAACTATATAATTCAGTCTCTCGTAAAATCTTCTTATTTTTTTTCTGTATATCGAAAAAATGTTGATAATTGATAATTCATGATAGTAAAATATCGTAGGAATTATTTAACAAGTTAATCGGCAATTATTTCCTTATTTCTATCAATGCAGATTAATTTTAATTTCGGTTAACTATATAACTTTTTATCTTTTTCTGATTCTTGGCATTAGAAAAAGATAATAATAAAATAAGTTAAATCAAGATTAATATGATTTCAAATTTCTAAATGTTTAATCATATAATATTAATTTTGTTTTAATTAATAATTACGTAACACTAAACTTAACATTCTTTTATTATTTATTTAATAAGTTATTTAATACATTTAATTTTTTAATTATCAATTGTATATATTGGCTGATAAACATTTGACATTAAAAACTATTAAAATCTTAAATATCTACAGTTATTTAGATAATGTTCTCATTTCCGCTGTAGATTAACTTTGTTCTCAGTTTAACTTGCTTTTTATCTTTTTCTAGTTCTAGGAATTAGAAACAGATAAAAACTAAATTAAACCGCGAGATTAAAAGTTAATCTGCATTGATAGAATAAACATTTCCATTTCTATCAATGAACTTTTAACCTCGGTTTATCTTTACTATTTATCTTTTTCTAATTCTTAGAATCCGCATTGACAATTGACAAAAATAAACGTGATAAGCTTGTTTTAATTTTTTATTGAGAAAAAAGGAATAAACAAGCGTAAAAAAAAGGCATGGTGCTGCCACCTGTTGGACGACAGTGACGACACTTCATGACGATGAGCGCCGAGGCCGCCGATGAGTAATGTATTCTTGAGCAGATCCGTCGATCCGTCGTCCGTGAATTCCGTCATGTCAATCGGAAGATAGCATTTTTTGTGCATTCCGTAAAATTCACGTGGCATATAACGTGCCGTTGTAAATATCACGTGGCTCGTTTGTGACGAATTTAATCCCCCCCTCCCCCCAGTTTTCACGGAACGGCGTTAAATCTAAAAGCGGATTAGCTTACCTTTGAGGTTAGAATTCCAGTCTCATCACAACGGGGGCCGAACAGTCAACCATGTCCGTCTCTCAGATGGAAAGTATCCTTTAAATTTCTAATTATGCATCAACGTCTCGTTATACGAGCGGTATAGGAGCACGTTTCCTTACAGGATTAAATTCGAGGCGATATGTATGAAAACATCGTCAAAAGATGCTTTGATAAATCTAAAAATTATAATTTTCTAGAATACATTGTTACGTTCGTTAATGATGTACTTGGGTAGATTAGATTATGAGTAGTATTCATAATTCGATCTTAAATTCAAGATTATCTAGTCTTGAGCAATATTAAGACTCCATTTGACCAATGAAATGACTGTAGAACATCTTGAAATCATACTTGAGACAATCTTGAACATAAGATCGGATTATATGAATACTGCCTTGTAGCTTCTCCTAATTGGTAAACAAAGAATTGCAGAAGCCTTGTAGCGCGAACGAGAACAGTTTTTCCTTGACAGTAATACGCAGAGAACCTGTTCAATTTGAAGTTTGCGGTGAAGGAGTTGGAGAGAAATTCTAAGAAATGCGAGAAGGAGGAGAAGATGGAGAAGACGAAGATCAAGAAGGCGATACAGAAGGGTAACATGGAAGGCGCACGCATCCACGCGGAGAATGCAATTCGGCAGAAGAATCAGGCCTTGAATTATCTCAGAATGAGCGCCAGGGTGGACGCGGTGGCCAGTAGAGTGCAGACCGCGTTGACAACTCGCAAAGTTACCCAGTCGATGGCCGGCGTTGTCAAAGCTATGGACGCCGCGATGAAATCGATGAACCTCGAGAAGATCTCCGGGCTCATGGACAAGTTTGAGAGCCAGTTTGAGGATCTGGATGTGCAAAGCTCGTACATGGAGAATGCCATGTCGCAAACCACAACCACTAATGTACCGCAGAACGACGTGGATTCTCTGATGCAGCAGGTTGCGGATGAAGCTGGGTAAGAATCCATTTCTTATCTACCATTTCAAAGTTCTTTCTATAGCTGAGACAAAGCTGAAATTCTCATTTTATATGCACAATGCAAATTATTTCAAATATTTAAAATACTATCATGAAATATGACCGACTTTATCTTTGTACAGATTGGAATTGAACATGGAACTTCCGTCGGGTCAGCTCGGCAGTATTGGCACTTCGACGGCAGTGAGTCAGGAGCAGGACGAACTAACGCAGAGATTGGCGCGACTTAGAGAGTAATGACAAATTGCTTTAATGTATATTGTGATTCAGGTGTTTTATAAATTATGTAATATATTCCCATTACTATCGTAAGCATTATAATGCCGTATGGTAATACATGTATTTTCCAAGTCTCAACTCTAAACGATTGACAGCCCGAGCAAATAAGGAAGATTAAGAAATTCTTAGATTTCAAGCAGCCAGTTTGTATGTGACACGCTTTAGGCTTTAATAGATACATAAGAACGTTATAGGATACATTGACTTACTTGTCTATGAAGCATTGAATTTATAGGCAATTGGTCTCTTGCTATTTATTTCGCATTTTAAAATTGTCGATTTTACAAGACATTTTCTATAAAAATTTATTAAAATACATGATTATTTTTAACATTAATTACTTCTCCTGAAATATAAAAATAAAATGAATTAATTGAAGTTAAGATGCGCTCTAACAATGAACTTACTGAATTTTTTATTAATGTAATTTGTAACGTCATCGTAAAGTGCAATCTCGCGGAATGCTTTTGCTGTAAAAGTCGGTTGTACATTATATAAATAGAAAATAAATATTTACCATTTATTAGCATTCGAAGATTATTTTATTTTAAAACTAAGATAAAATTTCACGAATAATTCTTGTATCGCGATATTAAATTCAATTGGATCAGAAAAACAACTAAATATAATCAAGAACAAATTTAGTATCTTACATTTAATTTGCTTTCTCAGTATTGTAAGTAAAAAAATATATCGGTGTATTTTTGTAAATAAGTATTCGTATCAATATCTGTAATATCAAAAGAACACATTGTAGCGTAATATTTCGTATCTTCTTTTTTTATTAAAATATAATTTTTGTAGAGAAGGTTGTAACAGCTAAAAGATTATTACATATACAAATATATATGTATGTATATCTATTTGTAAAAATAAATAAATAACGTTATAATATAACAATTGTGTGCGGGGTAATAATGTACATTTTATTTTTCTGATTTTATTAAAATCAAATACGACGCATTTAGACGTTGAAATCTTTCGGCACGAAAAACATTGCTAAGAAATCGTTTATTATACCAAGAAGACATTGCGATTAGAGATTAATATATTTCAGCAACAATATTTGTTTAAAAAATAATACTTTTTGATAACACTTTGGAAGTAAGAAAAGTATTATTCATTATATTTACTGTTATATTTAATAGCATCTTTTATCCAATTCCCACAATATATTCATTGAGAATATGAATTCCGAACAAATCCAAGATTATATTCTTCTTGGCAATAATAAAATGAACCGTAGAGCAATATTCTTTTGAGAGAAGTTAAAGAGAAATTAATTATAATTATAATTAATCTCATTAATTATTCAGAAAGTCGCAAAAGAGGATTCGACTCTGTATGAGGGCTTTTCTATTCAATTTAACCTGCTTTATGTAATTGACGTACAATACGGTTGTGCATCTGTATACATAATAGTAAAAAAAGAAAAAAACAAATAATTTGTACGAATCTCGAGAACTTTGGCCCAGAGTTTCTGGGATTCTGGGTTCTGGGCAGTATCAGAGCATTCAGAGCGTGGCACGAGTATGTTGATCTCGATCACGTGTGGACATACCTCGCGCATGCGCGCTGTGAGAATTACTTCACAATTTTCCAAAAACACATGCACAGAAACACATGGTTAAGTGCAGTGCTGTATGTATCGTCAAATATTGGTCAATATTGTTGTGCGGATGATGTCTGGCTTCGCAATCGAGAAAGAATAAGGGACAAAGGCGTGAAAATGAATGAAAACCTACTGAGACGGATAAAGAGGCAGCTAAACGCAAAGTTTTATGTGATGAACGACGCGTGGCTAAGAGATTGCGTCGAGTTTTTTGTTAAAGATAAGAACCCTCATGAGGTATGTGTATGTACTTGCGTCGCGAATTGCTATCTTGGCGATTCACATATATCATCATTAATTAAAATTAATAAAACAGCAACATATTATGATTGCGATTAATTTGTACCTTCAGAGAAGGAAACGACAAACGAGAAATGTTTTGTCATATAACTCGCCAATTCTTAGCTCGAATGAAATCCATCAATTTCTGTGTTATAAATATTAAATATAATTTATCACGAATAAAGGAATTAACCTTTGTGCACCGTCAACAGCGCTTGGCTCTAACTTAGCCCGTTCCACACTCTCTTTGATTTTCACCAGAGACTTTTTACACGGATATAATTAAATATTAAAATTATAAAGATATTTTTAAAATACTTATTTTTCCTTTTGTACGTTGTTGAATGTTTAAAATATATTTGTATATTGTGTGCAAAAGTCAACTTATAAAAATAGAATAAAAATAAATGCAGAGAGAGAGAGAATATTAATTAATTTAATTATTAATTAACATTGAATTTAAATTTATATTTAAATGTTCTTGACATTCTTTTTCTATAACTTATATAATTATAGTTGCTGACATGTAACATTCCAGTTCGCTAAATTACTTGAGACAATTAACTTATGTGATTGTCACTGCAGATGACGGACAAGCATATTTTCGAATTTGTGGAGAGCCAATGGCAGCTGAGTGACCTGCGGGAGATCAGCAACGAGAACGGATGTCTGCCGAGGAATCTGGCGCAGCAGACACGTATTGTATTGACTGATACTTATATCCTCCAGGTGAGCTCTGTGATGTTGTCACATCGTAATACGTATTTCTTACCTCAGAGATCCAAATTGTCATATATGCAGGTCATCCCGATGTGAGCATAGGTAGACAAGATGTATGATATAGCGAGCTCCAAGTACAAGCAGCTTTGTGAAATTCGCAAAATTGACAATCAGAACCTGGAAGTCGCCTTGGAGGAAGAGGAGAAGAAGGAGCAGTGGCAGCCCAAGGGCAGAAGAATGATGCAACTGTGCCTCACTGACGGCGTGCAGGATGTCACTGCGATAGAGTACACTCCACTCAAACAAATAACTGTACGACTTTTCCCATTGCTGCACCGATTTGAATGAACGAGACCACTCTATCCAAATTATTAAATTAAAGAATGATAATTTTGACAAATGTTTTTTGCAGGGCGCATTGCTTCCTGGCTACAAGGTGATGATAATTGGTCCGGTTGACTGCAGACGTGGTGTTATTCTCCTAGAGGACAGCAAATACAAGGAGGTTGGCGGGGAAGTGGACTCTCTGTTGAAACCCAACGCGCCGGAGAATGTCCTGGCAAGAGCTCTGTAAGACTCGGTCAAATTTTCTTCGAGTTTAAATTTATTGATGGTTTTAATCTCGAGCTTCTTGATCTCTTATTTTATTCGATCATCCAGGGGAGAACCAGAAAACCCTGATCCATACAATGACAACGGACCATTCAAGATCGCGAATCATAATAGCCAGAATGTAGCATCTGGATCTAACAACGACAATTTTTTCGACGATGACTTTGAAGAAGCTATTGACTTGGAAGCAGTGACGGCGATCGAACGACGGAGCCAGGAAATCGAAGCTATTCAAGAACGCTCTGAAAATACGTGCAATAACAGACAAACGGCTAGGAAAGAAACAAATGAGATGATTGAAGAAACGCTGCAGGATATAGACTTTGAACCCTTCGAGAATTGGTGAGTATTGAAGTCAAAAAGTGTCAGTTTTGTAATATGAATTTAATTCAGGTAATAATTGGCATCATTTTTAACCATGTAAGAATTTGTTTCAAAATTCACAATTTTTCTGATGGAAACAAAATTTACTTTCCTGTGGTATTATCTTCTAATTTTCTATATCGAGCAATTATTCTAGGCCCAGTGATTCCCCATCGCGAATAGAGACTAAGAAACTTGACGATAGTGACATAATAATAATCGATGATGCGCCAACGTGCAATTTTCGTAGCAAATCACCGCCTCCCACGAGTTCTCATAAGAATCAAAACTTTTTGGAATTTCCCGATGATGATTTTGACCTCGATGATTGCGACGTCATAATTAAAACAAAAGAATTGCAGAGGTTTCCTACTTATAAATCTTTTTCTATATTATTTTCGATATATATTTATCGTATTTATTATTACTTACTTTTTGTGTCATTTTTTAATCAATAAAATGGAAATCTTTTAATTGGCATTGTTTTTAACTATATAAGAATTTGTTTCGAAATTCACAATTTTTCTGATGGAAAGTTTACTTTCCTATGTATTATCTTCTAATTTTCTATATCGAGCAATTATTCTAGGCCCAGTGATCCCCCATCGCGAATAGAGACTAAGAAAATTGACAATAGTGACATAATAATAATCGATGATACGCCAACTTCCACGTGCAATTTTCGTAGCAAATCGCCGCCTCCCACGAGTTCTCATAAGAATCGAAACTTTTTGGAATTTTCCGATGATGATTTCGACTTCGACGATTGCGACGTCACAATTAAAACAAAAGAATCGCAGAGGTTTCCTATCTATAAATCTTTTTCTATATTATTTTCGATATATATTTATCGTATTTTATTACTTACCTTTTATGTCATTTTTCAGTCAACAAGGCGGAAATCCTTTAAAAAATAAAACGTGTGCGCCAATAGTGCCACTGCTGGAATCGACGAATAGTAACTCTTCGATGGAAGTTGAGAAATGTATATCCACGAAAACGGTACAAAACGAAAAACCAATGGTATATGATATTTATATTATAATGAAATATAATATTTATAACAGTCTTCTTTACTATGAATGATTCCCATATTTTCTCTTTTTTTAAATTAAAACTATTAATGTTTTTCTTTCACTCTTGTCTGATTTTATTAAAGGCGAGCACTTCGAGAACAATACAGCAAATGCCAAAGATCAAACCTATTACCAACTTTTTCAAACCCCTGTCTGCCCCCAAAATCTGCGATGTCCTGAGTGATGTGTTACGCGAGCCTATCACGGAAAAAATATGCAGAACAGTGAGAGGTCAAGTAAAGACCATAACTTCGGCGCTAACGAAACGGGGTAAATGCTGGTCGGTAACGGCAGTGATCACGGATCACACTTCCAGCGTAGAAGTCTGCTTCAATTCTGAGGTACGTGAAATAAGACGATTTCTTAAAGGCTCCTGCTGTCTTACCGCAATCATTCATCGTGAAATTACAAGAGAGAAATCATGAGATGAAATCCTTTCAGATTCTGGAAGAATTTCTTGGCTTCACCGTGCAGGAATTTTCGCAGAAAAAGAAACTTGCCAAGTCGAATCCTCAAGTAGACAACGAACTACGAATGGTAAGCTGGATATAATCAGATAGAATAATCGTTAAGGATGGTATCTCTTTTTCAAATCCAAATTCTTCTAGAATCTACGCAAGGCGCAACACGATATTCAAAATCTGGACGCGTTGTTGAAACTGGAATTGGTTCAGGGTGAAATGACCAAAGTCATTGGTATCACGCAGTTGACTGCGCAACAAAAGAAGGATCTTAATATGAAGAGGCCTGCATGAAATCGTAAAATAGATATGAATTGCATGAGAGATTCAAGAACTTCTCAAAATTCAATAATATTCGATACTTTGTATAAACATACAGCAATGCTGCGATCAAAACTGTAAGTAATCGCAGGAAATTTTCATAATTTTAACTTAGATATCGTTTCTCAGGGATTGAATTATAAAATATTTCTTTTATATAATTTATAATATTGCTATTTTTAATAAATAAAACAATTCAACACAAATAGCGTGGAGCGAACGTACGGTGTCATTCTTGTTCCGTTCTACGACTCGGATCTCTATTTTTAAATTTAATTAGAAATATTCAAAGTTAGTTTCTTTACGTACTCTCACGCGTAAAGTAACCGTCGCTCGCCAAAAGAGAACAAATTCCGATTAACGAATTGCATGATCATAGCATTTATTAACTGGTACAATTGATCATCGCGCAGTGGTACATTTTTGTCTCAACTCATTGTTTACCCTCGTTCACTTTTTCTCTCACTTATTCTTATTTTTTTCTTCACTCACTCACACGCACATGTACTCTCTCGCACTCTCTGTTTTTATCACTTATTCAACGTGATAACAAGTTCACAGTTTCAATTAATATCGTTTTTTTTTTATTGTTACAATAAATTTACGCTTATTGCACGCTTTTCCGTGATATAAAACTCATTCCACTTTCTCTCTTTCTCTCTTTCACTCCCTTTGCTTGTTCTCACTCTCTCGAGATATAAAATAAATCGTTGAAACACGTCGCACCGATGATTCTGTCTTCTCTAAGGAGGATCTGCAAATAAATCGTTTAAATAACAATAATTTAAATATAAATATCAACGCAATATGTCTCGTGAATTTCTACAATCGTCGACATTGGGCTTCTATTCTCTTTATCCTTGATCCTTTCCTTCTTTCTGCTTCGATGAGCGCAACGACAATGTCGTTTCTTGTCAATAGCATCAGTCCGCCTTCCGTTGATCTAACTAGTTTGTCTTTCGTAAAATAACATTCTCGCAATAACTATTCTCCGTGGAAACGCACATTGACTGCCTCGAGCCTTCGGGTCTTCGTCGACCCCCTGAAATCGCGAGTCGCCGAAAACATCGGTTCTCGGCGAACTTACATATGTTATGATCGTTAATATTTTATCTCATCCGGAAATGCTTGATCGGTGATTAAATTTAAGAAAAATTCAACTAAAATTCTCGAAGTTCTGTAACCTTAACTAATAGAAGCCACTAAAGCTAGATCCTGGATACCTTGAATCCTGGGAAAGTCGAGATCATAGATAAGATTTCCTTCAACTAGAGTTTGTAGATATTTAGCGTTCTAGAGCCTTCTATCACGACAATTTGGAGTCTCCGAGTTCGTACATCCTTGGAAATGTCAATTTTTCCAAGGAGAGTATTTAGTAGCGATCTTTTGAGATTCTCAATCCCTTGAAACTTCGGGTCCCTTGATTTTTAAAAACTCAGACTTATGAAACGCGAGATCTACGTTTACTTCAATCCAATAATCAACGAATTTTGATGACTTTAGTTTTCAGAGCCTTTCGAATTCTAAGAAATTTTGATCGCGGAAATTCAGAATTCCCGGATCCACGATAATGGACGTTTCGTCGAGCCCCCAAGTCCTAATCATGGATTCTCGGTATCTCGGATCTTGGGCTTTCACGGAGCTGTCGCGGATCTTCGCGGATCCTTTCGGAAAATTCGCGTAGCGCTCTCCCACTGTCTCCCGACTTCCCCAACAGAACGATGAGCTTTCGAGGAATTAGCTTTCGAGGATATTCGACGAGCGTCGTCGTGCCCGAGATGATCCTCGGCCGGGACGATTTTCTGCAGTTCAGCAGTGTACATGAGTTGCGCAGATCGATCACCAAGACGGCGGCGGTGTCCTTGAGATCATTGGATCGCTTCTATCTCGATCGCAAATATCGCCGTATGTGAATCGCGTGGGAACTCTCACGGTTGCTGCCTTAGCATCATGTTCAAATGTATATTTTGTATATGTATATGTGTATATATGTGTCGTATGTGTGACGCGTGTATATCTCGTATATATGTATTGCATGTGTGGTGCGTATGTATATGTTGTGTGATCATTCCGCGCGCACACGGTATACTAGAAGATATCGATGAAGCTGCCACCGGCAGAGGTGAGAAAAGCAGAGCTCTAACGGAAATTTTACCTACAATGATCTCGTCGTCTCAACAACACGGCGCTTCCGATAGTTAATGTGGCGTGTACGTGTGGAGTGTATGTTTTCTGCGTGTTGTGTTGTTACGAAAGGTGGTTTTGGTGGTTTACCAAAAGGTATAACCGCCCTCCGTTCCTCCTCCCAGGAACGAGCCCTTCTTTTGCGAGAGGGCCACACTGTGGCCGGCCATCGCGGCCAGCTGCGCAGCGTTCGCGGCCACCCCGGGTGGCGGCGGTGGCAACACCGGCTGCGAGATACCATCGAACCGGGTACCGTCGAAGCCATTCTGCGAAACAAACATTATAAATATTAATAATTACAATTTGGGAAAGATTTTGGAGGCAAGCTCCAATATCTTTTTTAGTTCGGAAGAACGGTTCACAGATTCATCCAGGTTTTTTTTTATTATCTCCACAGAGATAAAAAAATTTAAATATCGGAATATAGATGCTGCATAATGTGACGGTGTGTTATTTTTACTGGTAGTATGATAAACACATTCGAGTAAGCAAACTGTCTGCGGCATGCCGGCAGATTAGCAGCAAATTCGATCAGAAATCGAAATAATTTATTAAATGATATATTCTACTGTTAAGCAATCTGCAGTCATATCGGCAGGTTACGTAAGACTTTATGCTACTAGATGCGCTAATAACGGAATGATTCTTCCGAAGAAAGCCGTCGCGCAAGCTTAAATTCGAAAAAATTCGAAAAAAATTTGAGCTTGCGCGATGATATTCAAGTCTCGCTACAAACAATTTTTTAGAGAAATACAATATCGATACTTACAGGTACCATAATGGTAGGTCTTACAGGGGCGGGTTGCATAGTGGGATAATACGCCGTTGTCGCAGCTAACGGCGGATAATATTGCAAGGGATATCCCGGTGGATAATATTGCAAAGGGTATCCTTGCCCTGCATACATTGGTTGATACATCTAAACAAGAATCGGTATTCATTGATGAAATTTATACGTTTGGTGTAACTCTTCGAGGTAATTTCGAAGGACGGAATACGCGCGAATGACTCACCATAGGATGCGTAAGGGTCTGATCGTACGTCGGCGGCGGCGGGCCTTGCGTCGCGTACAATTGAGGCTGATTGGGAAATACTCCATATGGGGCGGCGCCTGCAACTGTCGACGAACGTTATCAGAATCGTTCAATAGCATAAAGCGTAATGCATTTGGAATAGGTATTAAAAGAGAAGGAGGACACCCTCCCCCCTCCCTAATGCAATCGAACCTCTCTTTCATTAATTCATCGAGACCAAATCAAATCCCTATTCTTAGCACTCCGTTCGACCCCACTTGTAATAGCATTCACGCGCAGAATGCAAAATGTTGCTCCATTGAGATAAATTAGAATTATTCACGTGATGTGAATCCAAGATGATTGAGAGAAATCGAGGAAATTATCAATTCCGACCCTCGTTTCCCACAAGTTTTCTGATTTTATCTATTCACCTCTCGCAAATTCCACTCTCCGGCTTCGTTCAAGAGCCCCTCATTTTGACAATTTATTTTTTTCGTTCAAGAGAAAGACGAGTTGGTAATGCGAAAGATCCTTGCAATTTAAGAAGCGCCCAGATAGAATATAAAAACTCAATGACATCATGATGACGTTGAATCTGGACATATCCAGATAACTTTTAAGTGATAAAACTCATGACATCATGATGACGTCATCTAGACGTATCCAGATAACTTTTAAGCGATGAATAAAGTCATGATAACGTTATCATGATGTCATTATGAGCTTTATGTTCTACCTAGGCAATTACTTCGAAAAATAAGGAGACAAGAGGCATGTAAAGGCTTATTTCAAAAACACTTCCTTCATTCGCGATCACCTCGATACTTGGCCAGTACTCGCTTCCCGGAAGTATCTCATCTTTCGCAGATGTGACATGAAACGGGACGTTCGAACACAATCGGCAAGGAATCTGTACAATAGATACTCGCCGGCGCGGCGCGGCGAACGGTTCTCCGCATTCTCCGCATTCCTCGCGGGGATTTAACTGCTTAAGGACGTTCTCTCGTCCTTATACTAAAGAAAATCGATTTTCTTAGGATTTTCTTGAAACTGTGAATATACGTT